TGCTCATTGCATATATATGAGGACCTGATTCCGAGACATACGTGTACTCTGACTGGTTCTTGAGATTCACTGCCATATGCTGTCAATTCACAATGTACTACCTTGTACCAATGTCTTATTGAGGAATATTTGCTGGCTTGTGCTCGAAACATTCATCGAACAGCTTGTTGAAGAAGACTGAATATCGTGCTTCAGAAACTTACCCCCTTAAAGACTTTGCTGGGGAAAGACTCAATATCTTATGTTGGAAGCTTTTGCGGTTGCTTACTGAAGATGGCAGAGTACCTTGCACGAGAAGTCATCCATGTATCGTACTGAGGAAGATAGATGAATTTTGCCTTGGAAGCGTCTCTGGTATCTTGCGAGGGAAAAGTAGGTTGCTTACACCAGAAGCTTCTTATTGTGATATGCGGACCGATTCCCACATATACATACCATCTTAATATGTCTGATGTTGATTTCTGGTATGAAACATTGTTTTACTGGACTATCCTCCTTTCTGAGTATATGCCATATTTTTGCTTGCTTCCAGGTACATCGGGTTCCAAAATCATCCTCAATAAAATATAAACTTGTATCTGAGCCATACCTTTGATAATATTCTGTCAACCTTGCACACAATTTATCTTCTTGCTGATTTAATCACTTTGTTGTGATGAGTGCACGCTAATGCAAACTTAATATTGACGGTCCATCCAGGATTTCTTTTGCATCCAGACAAGATATTCCCAATTTCACTTCAGTCGGCTGATAATTCCATTCTGTTTAGCTGAGTTTCCAATTATATGCATTTCTTGCTGACTCTTCGGGTCCAGTGTCGGCTGACGAGCAACTTTAATAGGGGAAAATTTTTGTAACACTGAAAGCCCAAAGAAAGGAACAATATAAACGACTAAAACAAGAGCACACAAGCATACTACTAATATAATTAATCAAACAATCATCACATGTTACTGCTAGTCACACAATATGCATGCCTACTTAAGCACACAAATTTCGCGGAATCTCCGGTACTACGATCTAGCATGCTGTGACGATGTGCATGAGGACGAATAAATGTGTGGAAGAATTGGTGTAAACAGCGCTACACCAAGTGCTAGCTTAGCTAGGTGGCAACCTGAACTAGCTCGGAGGCGAGGACGCACTCGGTAATCATGTATTGGGACACGAAGGTCTCAACTACATTATTATCAAGCGGACGGAAAAAGATCCGTACTCATCTAGGAAATAGGATAGCGGGGAAAAACTGAGACTGCTGACATTGCCCTTTCTTGATAACTAAGATCATTAAGGGTTGCCAACACGACAAAATAAAAGAACGGTTCGGGATAGAAACATGTCCATCACCGAAATGATAGACGGGACTGAAGGAAAGACATCGGTGCGATACCTGAGCACCATTTTTGCAAAAGTGTCGGGATCACTTGGCATCACTCTACTGGGACAGAAATGACACCAAACACCAAAAGAAAAAGGGACTGGGGAAATGCAAAGGTTGAGTTGTAGTGGTTTCGAACCGATGCCAACTACACTCACCAGACAAACCGTTATCACAAATACTAAGGCTATATGCATGCTATGCAACAAACAAATGCAGCAATCAAGTGCAACAAACCAACTGGGGTTTATACTACCGCTTTCTAACGTTCGCGTGGTCTAGGGCGTCCTACAGCCAGACTTGCTCTGATACCAAGCATGTGGCACCCCGGCTCAGAGAAACTGGAACGCCCCGTATTCCAGCCCAGAGATCGAGGAAAAGTCTTCTGGAATACGACACTGCTTAGCATAGAACAAACCAGCTTTCTATTATTACACGAATATGAATACAATGTTTCCGATATTACAATGAATAACATCGGTACGGCGGCACTACGCCATCCTCAGTTACTCTATGCAAGCAGCAGAACAACTCGAAGCAGCAGAGTAACTCTAGCAGCGGAACAACGACGACGGTGATGAACTCCACTCCGCAGGGACTCTGACTAGAACGCTTATCCTAGCTCGCAAACAAGGACTCCACGGCAAACAAGCAATCAAATCCGGAATGACCTACAAACCGGAATGACACGCCAGGTCAGTACATTGAATGTACTTGCAAGCTCACAATAAGCATAAACATAATGACAAACAATATTAGGATATTTAACCATTTAAGCAACAATGCAACTATACATCCAACATACTGCGATTATGCTCAACAGGTACTCATTCTCCTGACTGGCTTACCAGATGTGACCAATAAACAAGATATTACCAAAACATACTCGTGATCCTTACGCCGAGAAGCTTATCGCCGCCATAGCCGCCGCATGAGCGTGGTTAGGGTCTCGGTGGCGCTGTCGCTGTGAGCCTGCGAGAGAAAAAGCTATCGCAAAGAAGAGTTGAATGGGCTTTGGCCCAATCAACCACGGACCTCCGATTTTTCTCCTGGAGTAGCAGTTTATCGGACAGTCAGGTAAGTTGAGGCCCACTCGGAGTTAAACGTGCATCCAACGATCAGAAACAATCGAGACGCAGTATCTGATGGCCAAAATCGCTGATTGTCTGAGAGGGCTCGGTTTAGGCTCAATTTTACTGTCCTTGATTTGATGGCTAGCAAGCAATCGGACTCCACTTTGTGTCCTTGACTAGTGTTGCCACCGGCGAGCGGTTAGTGCTTGTTCTCTGAATAAATTTGTTCGTCCGTTCCAATGCCAAAGAAATCTCCTCCCTGTATGCAGCGACTTCCGCCTCCAAAGATGATGTACACCATAATTCTGCCGGTGTTATCACGCAGTACCGCTCCAGCACCACCAGTGTTCTCTCCGTGAATATACGACCCATCTATGTTCAGCTTCGCCTATCCTACTGGTGGTTTCTGCCAACGATCTGTGTTAGTGTTTCGGATTGTAAACCTGTACGAGGCAGAGACAAAAGCATTAAATAAAAAAAACTATTTGACTCAAGTCTCATTTATTTATGAATTGGTTACTCATCTGTCTTCCGGTCGAAATCTTGAAGGAGAAATTTTTGTGGTGGCGTATCTCTTTAGCTGGGTCGTAAAAGCTTTCTTTGCAAAAACCATTTTAGCTAACAGGTACTAGAGGAGAATGACGTTTTGGATCTCCGCCTCCATGGAGGCCGAACTTAAAAAAAAAAATCGAAATTTCCATTTTTCAAAATAATCTGAAAAAATGAACAATTAAACAAGGATGTGATGTGTATGCATGTAAAATTTCAGGATGATATGCATTGAAATGTGACTTGTACTAAAAAGACAAATTCATGGTCCGCGATTTTTTGTGTGTGTTAAAAAGCCTCAGAATTTTTTTTTGGCACAACCCTCGTTTCAACGTATTTCGTCCTGAAAATTTACACAATTCTACATTATGCCTTCATCTATATCTGTATTTTTTCAGATTTTTTTTAAATGTAAAAATATGAATTTTCACGAATTTTGAATTTTGCATTTGGAAGCCTCCACGGAGCTCGACCTCCAAAAGCAATTTCCGGTACTATAGCAACTAACATCTAGTTTCTTTTTGGCTGTTTCAGACTTCCTATTCACTGTACAACTTGGTGTATCCTCTCGAAATTATCTCCTGCACAGAAAATTGCAAGCACCTAGATAACTCGAGCATCATTGCTCTAAAAAAATGAGTTTTTTAATCAGTTTAGTTTTTATTTTAATTTACCGTTCACCCAGGAGCAGATGAGCTCCGGCTCAGTTGTGAATTATCACAATACAAAGCACAAACACAAATATGTATTTAATGGAAACAAACGACACACACACACACACACACACATTGTATAAATACACAACCACAAGTAAATCCATGTGAAAAATAAAAAAGAGTAAACACATCATACATGCGTGTACCCTGAAGCAATCCAGACAGAGAGCAACGAATCATACGGAGATAGTGTGCAGCCCCAGCCCCCAGCCATCCAGATGCTGCGCTGGCCATGTGCACCACCCGCCCAGCCACCAGGCCACCACCCACAAACAGGCACAGCACATTCCAGGGCCAAAAGGACACGTACTATCTTTGGCAAGGAAAAGGAAATAAAACCACCCCAGTGGCAGCGACCAACAAATAAGGCCAGACATACCAGTATCTTCCACGATGTTCAGAAACATTCCCCACAAGCAAACGCACATGCGGCTGCAGCGCGCAAATTTGGCATGCCCTCATTTGGAGTAAAAAACAGAACCTTGATATACGTGTGCAGCGCAGGAGAATAGATGCTTCGACGATTACAGCGCAGGCACACGCGCATGTCTGCACCAACAGATGCAACTGAAAATACTTGAACCTGATATTCTGATCAGATCGGTAAACTTGATATAAATTAACCGATTACTGCAATTACAGTAGCCATCTGTAGCTAAACAGAGGTAATGCAGGCACGAGCAAATAGATATGCTTGGCTTGGAGAACAGAGTAACAGGACTGAATACAGAAATTCAGGTTCTGCGGATGCCAGGGAACCAGGAGGTCATGGTTTGTTCAGAGTCATGGCATGGCAGAACAAAGGCACCACAGAATCCACAACCGCCTTTTCCGTTTTGTTCACCCATTCAGCATACAGTCTGGCATGCCTTGAAATTCCTGAAACAATTTGATTGCTACAGCAAAACAAATGTGATGAACATAGTGCGGTAATACAAATGGAGCTGCAGGAAGTACCTGAAAAAAGATCACAGGGGAAGTGAACATAGTTTCAGAAAATTCGAATGAATCTAAATTGATTTAATTCCTTTGCTCAATGACAGTAACAATCGCAATCCGCAGAATTTGACTGGGAATGCAGTTAAACGCTACCTTTCTTTTCCTCAAATCTTTTTAACTACAAGATCTAACTAACAAGCAGAGAATAAACCGAATCCCTTAATCCCTATCTTCACAATGAAACTAATATACTTTCAAAATCAGATATGTAGTGCAAGTATGGAACCATTGTATCCTCTGTAGTCGAACTCTATCTGCAGCAATTCTGAATGTGTATGGCAGCAATCAAAACCACTGATGCACAAGAACGCCGCTCTCCCGGAGCGAGCTGAAGAGCTCCAGGCACTCCTCGTATGTGTTCTGATACTTGGGCGACCGCTCGCCAGGGCAGCACCTTTGCCACCGGTTGTAATGGCACTCGAGGAACACCTCGTCGACCAAGCAGATTGCGCCCGTGTCGAAGAGCCTCGGGATCAAGTCAAACTCAGTCCCCTCCACATCCATCTTCATCACCACGTAGTCCTGCTCCGACACCGTCTGCTTCAGCCACTCGGCGAAATCAAATGCCTGCACACTGCGCACCTTGCCGGACATCTTCTTACCGGCCGTGGGGCGGATGCGCCCCATGCCACGGCCACTGGCCTTAGCCTCATCCTCCTTTCCAGGGTCGCCATTGATCTCGAAGCTGAGCGTGTCATTCTTGACCCAGGCGGCATACGGAAGCAATGTGACCCCCTTCCTTGTGGCGTAATCAGGGTGGAACGTCGGGTCGGCCTCGATGGCGAACACCTCGAAGGTGTGGTTCTGCTTGGGGTACTGCTTCCGGAACCAGCTGCCGATGCTGGACCCGTAGCTGCGTGAGCCGAGATCAACGTACACATACCGGCGCTTGAAGCTGATGTCGGCAAGGTCTGGAAGGTACTTGATGTTCTGGATGTTTCGCTTCAGCGTCAGCCATGGCTTCAGCGGCTCTTCCTCGATCAGCAGCTCGGCGCGCGTCAGGAGCTGGATCTTGTGATCGCCAATTGTGCAGTTGCTCGCTGAATTGTCGGTGGAGGTGGACGCCATAGTCGGCTGAAGCTTCTGGAAGACCAGTTCACGGAGGGTGGACGCGTCGGGGCAGTTGATCTCGCGAGATCGGCGCAACCGCAAGGCCGGGAAGAGCGCCTGAAGCGAGCGGAGGCTGTAGGCGTCGGCGGCGCTGGAGGTGAGCACGACGAGATGGCCCTCCGGCCTCAAGATCCGCGCGGCCTCGCCGGCGAGGTCGGCCGGGCGCTTGGACGAGTCGAGGGCGCGGCCGGCGAAGACGAAGTCGACGGAGGAGGACTCGAACGGCAGGCGGCGGTCGTCACCGGCGACGGCGAGCGGCGGGGAGCGCCTCCTCGCGACGGCGACGGCGCCGGCCACGCCGAGCTCCCGCAGCGCGAGCGCCTGCTGGGCCCCGCCGAGGCAGACGGCGCGGGAGGACGACGCCAGGAGGCCGTCGGCGAGGTGCCGCCCGAGGACCCCGGCGTGGAACTCCACCGCCTGGCGCCACTCGTGGCTGCGCCACGCCTCCGGCGTCCCCGCGGCCGCCGCGGCCTGGGCGTGGGTCCTCCTCCCGACCACCGCGGTGGACGGCACGGCCGGGTCGGGCGCCCACCCGCCGCCCACGGTCACGAACGCCCCGTACAGCAGGCGCAGCGCGAGCGCGGCGACGCCGAGGAGGAGCGCGCGCGTCAGGAGCCCCTTCCCGTGCCACTTCCTCGCCGCCGGCTCCATGCCGGTCCGGGCTACACCAGCCGCCCCTTGCCCGCGAATCTAGCGGCGGGGCCGGTCGGCCAATCAGACGATGGTCTCGTGGGGAAAATTCCGGCGTGCGTGCGCGCGTGGGGGCTAACGGGCGCA